GGCTAATTTTTTGTTTTTGTATTTTTAGTAGAGACCGTGTTTCACCATGTTAGCCAGGATGGTCTCTATCTCCTGACCTAGTGATCCTCCCACCTCGGCCTCCCAAAGTCCTGGGAGTACAGGCATGAGCCACTGGGCCCGGCCAGGTTCTTTTAAATCAACTTAATTGAGGGATCATTTACATATAATAAACTGTATCCATTTACCATTGAAAGTGTACAATTCTGAACTGTGGGATGTATACAGATATATATATACCTGTACAGCCACCACCACTACCATGATACTGAACATTTTCCACTACCCCCAAAGTAGTAGTCATCCCCATTTCTCCCATTTCCCCCCCCACACCCACCCCAGGCAGCCACGGATCTGCCTCTTGTCACCATAGGCTAGAATTAACAGCAGGGATTTTTATCTGTTTTATTTCTCTGTCCCTAGCACATCAGATGGTGCCTGGCACATGATTGGCACTCAATACATCCTTGGTGAAAGACTGAATTAATGGATGGGAAATCAGATGATTAAGATCTGTCTTCTGGGCCGGGCGCAGTGGCTCCTGCCTGTAATCCCAGCACTTTGGGAGGCTGAAGCAGGCAGATCTCCTGAGGTCAGGAGTTCAAGACAGCCTGGCCAACATGGTGAAATCCCGTCTCTACTAAAAATACAAAAATTAGCCAGGTGTGGTGGCAGACACCTGTAATCCCAGCCATTCGGGAGGCTGAGGCAGGAGAATCGCTTGAGCCAGGGAGACACAGGTTTCAGTAAGCCCGGATCGCACCATTGCACTCCAGCCTGGGCTACAAGAGCGAAACTCTGTCTCAAAAAAAAAAAAAAAAAAAAAAAAGAGCATGGCTGAAGACCAGCTGTATACTATTAGTAAGATCAGATTCTTGATTTTGTGAAGGTAAAGGCAGGAAAGAGAGGCAGAAGCTGAAGTCAAGATCAGCTAGTTTATGCTGCAGTAACAAATGAGTCCATGGTCCCAGGGGCCTGGAGCACTGAGGTCAAGTTCATTTCTCTCTCACACTTATGCGTGTCCTACTCCACTCCTATACCAGGCTGGCAGCATGGTTTCTGGCTGGGGCGGTGCCATCCTTGCAGCAGAGGGAAGAGAACAAGGTGAGCCATGCTTGGCTTTGAAAGTTTCTGCTCCCCAGTAACTCACATGTCCCACTTCAATGGCCAGCACCAGTCAAGTGGCCAAGCCTGAGTGAGGCCAATGGGTCAGGGAAGTGGAATCCTTCTCCAGAGAGGAAGAGGAAATATTTGTGAGCAATGGTACGATGTACCATAGGCATGCAAGCAAATAATTACAGGATGTGAGAAGTACCATCTACCTCTGCACGGTGCTAGGAAGGGAAAGGGGCCGACTTTGCTTGGAAGGCAGATGTCAGGCAGGGAAAGGGGAAGTCAGGGAAAGCTTCATGGAGAGGTGATATGTATCTGGGTCTTGAAGAAGGAATAAGAGCTCACTAGACAGAAAAAAACAAGGGAACACTCAGGCAGGATGAAAAGGCAACTGTCAAGGATAAAATTGTGAAAGTCTGATGTGCTCTCCGTGGTTGGAGCATCTGGGTACAGGGGCTGGCTCTGGACAGGTGGACTGGACCAAGACGGGTCTCTGACCATCAGACTAAGGATTCTGACTTTTCCCAAAGAGTGATGGACAGGCAATGAGGTTTCTGAACGAGGAGATATGACTTTGTGCCCTGAAGTGGTTGAAGGAGTGTTTTCATCCCAAGTGCAGAAAAGCAACCAAATAAAAGGGGACCCCAAATCAAGAGAAAATCCCCAGGAAGAGATGAGGTTTTTCTGCACGAGAACCCAGATAGGAACGGTCGCCCGGGGGAGCTGGGCCCCTTCCTGTTGCAGGGAGCAGGCACAGCTCGCTGGCAAACGCCGATCAGGGCACTGCGAGGCCGAGCCGAGCCCCACGGACCCGCCTGACCCCGCGCCCGCCCCCCGCGCTGGGAGAGAGGCCCCTCCTGGCCCCTGGAGACCTGGCGTGGCGGATATTTGTCTGTGATACGATTGTAATTTGGGCCCCTTTTGGCCGCAGTAAATTGTCCTGTTTGCACAGCGCCAGGCTGAAATAGCCCGGCGCGCGCGCGCCCCAGGAAATGAGCTCAGGGCCGACGGCCGCGGAGAGCGCGCTGCAGCCGCCCTGGCGCTCCAGGCGCCCCGGCCAGCCCGCGTGGGGGCGGAGCTGCTATTTTTTCATTTGACCGACTTAAACAGGTAATTTGAATTATGAGCATGAAAAAGTGCCCAAGGCGCTGTCTGCCACCGAAAGCTCAGAGAAAAGTGGGAGACGCTGGCATGGGGACTGGGGAGGCTGCAGCATCTTCCTTTAGGGGCAGCGGTGGGTGGTAGGGGGAGGAACCGAGGCTCGGTCTGAGATGTGCTGCCCCTGCCACCTCCCTCAAGGCAATAAGGAACGTCAAAACCCCTGGTGACAAATTGCGATTTTACAAAAATGATTTCATGGTAGAAGGACTCCACAGCCATGGAAAAGAACATTTGAAGCACGGTTACATCCGCCTTCCCGTGCCTTACAGGTAACATTACAACTATCTACACATACATGGATTTGTCAGCATTGCCATGATCACAGCATATAGA